CACACAAAGCCCCTCAAAGGTTATCATGCCCTATCTGATCCAGGGTAAATGAAAAATTCTGAGGCGCAATTCACAGGGAAAGTCAGAGTGTCTACGCTGTTTAATAATGTACATTGAATAAAGTATTAGAAACATATTTATTCTTCTCCCTACTCTTGGTGCTACTGACCATCTACTGAATACAGGGTACAAGAAGAGTGCCAAGTTTTAGGTACTGCCCAGGTCCTTCCACGGCTAACAAGGCAGAAACACTTATGTGAACTCCTTGGTAAGCCCGGTATGTTGTGTGTGGAGAGGATGCCTGATGATGTCTTTGAACTTCACTTTTTGGTTTCTCAGCTATCTCAGAGGTCTGGCTGTAGAATTACTAATATTTTAAACAATGCAAATGTAATTATAGTTGAAGCATACTCTTTAACAGAAGGAGGGAAAGATTGGCATTTAGAAACTTCATTAAACTTTTGGCCTTTTCAAGGCTAAATGAATCTTAGGGAAGAAATAAAAAGTTCCCATTGATTCACTTAAAAACAGATTTCTTGCAATTAACAGATCTAAATCTATGAAAAAGGGAGCATTTATGGTAATTTCAGTAATCTCTCACTTTCTCTAGATATTTCAAATCAAACTAATAAGTATAAAATCCCTCCTTCTCTCTAAATACACACATACACAAATGTTAATCAGCAAAACTTTTCCTAATCTCAAGGAAATGTCAGTTACATTTACACAAGCATAACTAGTTCAAGCAATTTATTTGTAAGTAGATATGCCTGCTAGATTAGGAAAAAAGCATATTTAGCTGTATGGCATGACATGCCCCCTACCCCAAACCCTGAATAGTTTTTTTGGCAGGTAATCAGCAGAAGAGATATAAAGGCATCTTCAAGGTATAGAAAGATGTTCAAGACTTAGAATATTCCTTTTCTCATAGTTCTCTTATCCCAACATATAAATTGTAACAATTTGTTTAAAAGACTGAACTAAATTATGATATTCTTGTCTTCCAAATTTATTTAGACTTGGTATCCTGTTCTTTCTCTGGAATTTCCTTTGCTTTTCTTTTTGTCAGTAAGCTAAATTACTTCTCCTCCCACATGCATAAAAGCATTAATTTATAAAACACATAGCCATATGTCATATCTCATGTAATTCTATTTTACATTTCACTGCCACCCAGACTTATCTAACATGAACAAATAGATATTATTTACTGTAGTCAGAATGAGAATTATCTAATGCCACTTACATAGCCATAAATTGATTTTTGATTAATGTTTAAGCAAAAAGCAAACAAGCCCATCTGCTCTGAAAACAAATAAACAAAAGGAAGCAGCAAACACATAGTTCACAGGAATTTCTGCAGTATTCGTATGTTTCAGCTGCTGGTGAGGATAGAATTTTTTCATTGCTATCGTGAAAATGTACTGCTTGACAAGAAGATAATTTCATATATAGATGTAGCTTCTTCTCTAGCAACTGTTAATTTAATAGACTATTACTTATGGTAAAATACAAAACAATCCCATTCTGAAAAAAGCACTGAAGACTGATAACCAGCAGTGAACTTCTTCCGTATTGCTCGGTGGGAACAAAAGAAAGCTCAAATGGGTCAGTTTTTCTTCTTTCAGGGTTGCTTTCTCTATGGATCAAGGTAAGAAGGAAGAAAAGTTAGGTCTCCTATTTCACACAGTAATGCATGGGCTGAAAGAGTCTTTTTAAAAATATTTAAAACTAACTATTGTACTGTATACCTATGAAATTTCCTTTTCAGTGCAACTCAAAATTGCTAAGACAAACCAATGAGAGAGAAGTAGAAACGTGAAAAAGGCCCTGTCCTGCTTATTTGTATCTCTGAGGTTTCCTCAGTATCTGGCACAGTATCTGTCAGTAGACAGCTCTAATCCATTTAGAGTGAATTTGTTCTGCTTCTATTATGGAGGTAAGAGAAAAAAACTGCTGCATTAGGTGGGAATTTCACTAATACCAATGAATTCCCAATATTCTAACTTTCTGGGGAAAAAAGATGCCAAAAAAAGTGAATGAATTTTGAACAAAACTAAACAGCATGTTAGGATTATGGCATAGCAGGTTGAAGGATGAAAGAATGATAAGAGCAATTTCACAGCAACCAAAATGACACAAGAACACACATGCCGGTAAGCAAACAAGAGGCACAACTTAACGACGCAAGAGGAAGTAGTTTAACTTGCAACTTTCAAAATTAAATTCTAACTGTGGTAATATAAAGAAAGCTTTACAACCCGTTCACCACGTTACACATATTGCCATTTATTTGCTAACAGCAAAAATTCAAATGAGTGTATTTGAGTCTCTAAATATTTTCTACAAACGCTCTCCCCCAGACTAAGACAGACACTGCCAAAGTGAACGAGTCACTGCATGGCTAGATTTCCATGTTGAAAATCTTAGGCTCACAGCAGAATACTTGCACAAATCCTACTGCAACTCCTTAAAAATCACTCTGCAAGTTGCATCCTAAGAGTTCTTGTCAAAAGTGTTCTTTAAAGCATTACACACATACACACACTGGCCTAGACAACAAGGATCTTTGTCTTTCTTTGCCAAAAGACAGTGTTTCCCGAGGCCTGTTTTAGCCTTCCACTGATGGTTCTGATTTTGGTTCAGAAAAATAATTGCATGACTGTCCTAAAGTGGAAAGAGAAAAACCTCAAAAATTGTTAACGCATCAATTACATCAACCTTTTCTAATTACAACTCTGCATTTCATTATTCTGCAGGCAAAATGAGTACCTTAGGTCTAGAGCCCCAGGTAAACAAAGCCTTTCCCTGTCCTCATTTCAAAACTTTGTTTTTATAAACATTCCCCCGTCCCCTAAACTGAACTACAACAGCACAATGATCCTGTTGTGAGCACTCCCTTGACCTCTACAGGACAACAGATTGTTGCTCACTTAGCCCCTCAGAGTAAAATCAGTTTTAATATGGAAGTTTCTGTCTTATCAAAGGAAGTAAAGAAGTAAAAACAAAAAATGAACATATATAAGCACAGATTTCTAAGCTTCGATTGTATAGAAATGGTAGGTATGTGGCTTGCCAGGAAAGCGTATCACCTGCTTCTGCTTCTCTCTAGGGACAGAGGTGAAGGGGTCTGTTCTGGAGTTTTCTAAGGAGGCCATCTTAGTTATTACATCAGGGAAGTTTCTAGTCAAAATGTTATTCCTGTCTACAGGGAAAAACAAAAGCAAAACACAAAGAACATTGCTTCTAATGGCGTCACAGCAAGGAGTTTTATCTAGGAAGATGATGCCAAGAGTCGCCTCTTTTCCAGGAAGACAGAAACAAAAACCGTTCTCCTCGAGAGGCCAACAGTGTAGAAGCCCCTTTTCCAGAACTTTCCAAGCAGACGAACTTCTTTGTAAGTGTATGAGCACAGGGAAGAGCAGCGCTCCACGTTCCAGGAAGAAAAGCAACCCACAGCTCCTCCTGCCTGTGCAGCAGATGACCAGAAAGACAAGAAAGGGAAACAAACTTCCATTCATGGTGAAGCATGCTGCTTATTTCTCAAATACACTTTTCAAATGCCTCCACAAGTTGTTTGTTTCTATATTTTGAAAGCACTCAATATGCAGAGTATTTGCTAACCACAGGCAGAGTACCCAGTCAAGACGTACCAACTCAAACTCCTCCCTGGTGCAGGCAAGGATAAACAGGGAACAGGTAAGAGAGGCCTGCAAAGCCAGGTGGACAGAGATCACATGTGATCCCAAGCAGAAACAGGCTGCTGGAAACTAACTCTCTCTCTCTCTAGCTGATACTTATTCAGCACTTACTGTATGTCAGGTACTATTCTAAAAACTTTTACACATAATAACTCAGTTTTCACATAGATACAATTATTTTCCATACTTTAGAGATGAAAACATTGAGGCTAGAGAGGTTAAGTAATTTGACCAAGGAAGCACAGCCAGTAAATGGCAGGGCTAGGATTTAAACCCAATCAATATATTTTTTTGTAGCTCATCTCAATGGAGTTAGTTGGAGTCTCACCAGCACTTCCTTGTACTGGGCTCCACTTTACTGACTTCTATCAACCACAGGCCATACTTTTTTTTCCGTAGCCTGAAGAAGAAATGCGCTAGGTAACTTCATTATGATGGCAGTAAGATTGTTTTTCAACACATACACACTCACTTTCAAAAACAACTCAGAGGCCAGATGCGGTGGCTCATGCCTGTAATCCCAGCACTTTGGGAGGCCAAGGCGGGCGGATTACCTAAGGTCAGGAGTTTGAGAGCAGCCTGGCCTACATGGTGAAATCCTGTCTCTACTAAAAATACAAAAGTTAGCCCTGTGTGGTGGCGTGATAGTCTACTCGGGAGGTTGAGGCAGGAGAACTGATGGAACCCGGGAGGCAGAGGCTGCAGTGAGCCGAGATTGCGCCACTGCACTCCAGCCTGGGTGACACAGCAAGACTCCGCCTCAAAACAAACAAACAACAACAAAACAAACAAACAAAAAAACACCGCCTGGACAACAAAATGAGACCCCCATCTCTACAAATAAATAATTAGCCAGTCGTGGTGGCATACACCTGTAGTCCCCAGCCACTCGGGAGGCTGAGGCAGGAGAACTGCATGAACCCAGGAGTTGGAGGTTACAGTGAGCTATGACTGCACTACTGCACTCCAGCCTGGGTGACAGAGTGAAACTCCATCTTAACAACTTAGTGGTAAAGCAGGCCTTCAGTATACTTTCGCCTCTCTGTCTTTTCTTTTTTTCTAAAGATTACTACTTATTCACCGTTCCCCATTGGTTTAGATAATAACAGAAGAAGCAGGACACTATAAAAAACCTTATTTTGCTACCACAGAAAGCAAGATGTGAAGGCAGTCAGGTTTGATAACAGTGCACACTGTTTTTGCAGTTATCTTTCATCACAAGGCTCTCACATCATGTGCTCTGGGCTCATGTAACACACTCTGCTGGAATGCCCCCATTCAAGTGGGGAGAGAGTCCGTGACAGTCCTGCCTGCACTCACTATGCTAGCAAAAAATGTCTGGGAAGGACAGAAAAGAATGTAACATGCAATTAAAGCAAGGGAGAGTGATTAATGTAGGCAAAAATTAATCGCAAGGGCAGTGTCAAAGTTTGGTGGGACAACTGAATGTTCAGAAGGGACCTGAAAAAAGTAATCCCATGATAAACAACATGGTAAAAAGCTTAGATTGTGCCCTCAAGTTTTCTTAAGATTACAGATAAAATGACAACAGGCAAATTATTTTCTTTCCCAGGTGAAATGAAGAACCAAGGATCATCTGAGCAAAGACTCAAGGACCATTTGAACAAAGACATCCACATCTATACCATAGATGACTTGGCATCTATGGAGGAGTGGAGGTGAGCACCACTCTACCATGGACAGGAAGCAGCCACTGTAGAGGCTGGGCTTGCGGAGATTCCTTCTGGATGCCCTCAGACCTGTCATTAATGGGGACAAAGCAGAATCAGGGGACTGCTATATCTCATCTACGACTACCAGCTCCACCATCCAGGGTACTGTTCTTGCCACTACATCTAGAAATAAGAGGAGTGCAATCTTACAACTAGAAAAGGCTGTCTCGCTGAACATTTATTCTCATTCCTCTACCCAAAACTAACGAAAATCTGAAGTCTGAGTGGTGTCTGAACCTAATATTTTCATGTCCGAGACACACAAGGTTGAGCTGCCACTTCTAGCCATCTGAACCACCCAGTGTGAGTATGTGGCTGGGAGGGTGGGTGGTGATGGTGGTGGTAGGGAGGTGGGGGAGACTTCTAATGAGAGGCAGTAGAGAGTAGGGTCTAAGAGTAGGTACTCTAAAGTCAGATTGATTGGGTTCAAATCCCAGGTCTGCCATTTACCAGCTGCACTTTCTTGGCCAAATTACTTAACCTTTCTGTGCCTCAATTTTTTGTCTCTAAAGTGGGGATAAATAGTTGTAACTATGGGACAACTGAGTATATGGCAAGTGTTTAGAACAGTACCTGGCACAGAGTAAGGGCTGAATGAGTGTCAGCTCCAATTGTCATCAAGGTGTAAGTTCACTGGCAGCAGGTGCAAGATTCTTTTGGATGGCTAACAAACTACAGCTTTGGCTGACAGTGCTGTTTGTGAAACCCAGTGGCCTCTTCACTCCATAGTCAGCCTTCCAGTGCTCCTGCCCTTGGTGGCCTTGGCAGGAGCCTGGGGTTGAGTGGGGACTCAGACAACTGAAGCTCTCTCAGCAAAAGCAGGATCCCCACGTCTCCCATTGACACTAAAAAACAAATTCTTGAATTTTTCCCGGGTCTGCTGAGTGATCACAAGAGGACAGCTGGGGCAGGACGACAGAGCCTCAGCAGTGTCAGGGAAGCCTGCATACTTCCCTCATACTCAGAGTGCCTTCTGGCCACAGGCTTATTTCAGCTGTCTTTTGTCCCATTTCTGAGGCTCTTAAGGGATGCTCTGGGCACTGGGACCTATGAATAAATCAAGATGAGTGAGGCAAGGGTAACACCATGATTAGATCAGCCTGGCCCATTGCCCTTTGACCTTAGAGTACTGGAAAAGCCTTGACAGGCAAGGGCATGAGAAGGCCATGTGCTGCAGGGGCACAGTCTTCAAACAGGAGCCTTCCCGGGGCAAACAGGCGGCATCTACCTTCTAAATAACAGGTTTAAAATTCAAGAAAGCAAACAGCATTCCCTAACTATCAATATTCCAATAAGTCCTAGAATAGTTTTAGTTTTTAACATCCCAGATAGCATTTTCAATTGTAAAACCTGGAATGAGAGGCAGAGGATTTTCAGGGTCATGTGCTATTTTTTATTGGTTTACATGCAGGATGCAGATGTCATTTTAAATTTTTATCTTAAATTTTTATCTTTCTATTTATTTATTTATTTATTTATTTTTAATTTTTTTTTTTGAGACGGAGTCTTGCTCTGTTGCCCAGGCTGGAGTGCAGTGGCCGGATCTCAGCTCACTGCAAGCTCCGCCTCCCGGGTTCACGCCATTCTCCTGCCTCAGCCTCCCCAGTAGCTGGGACTACAGGCGCCCGCCACCTCGCCCGGCTAGTTTTTTGTATTTTTTAGTAGAGACGGGGTTTCACTGTGTTAGCCAGGATGGTCTCGATCTCCTGACCTCGTGATCCGCCTGTCTCGGCCTCCCAATTTTATCTTTCTAAATGTAGTTAGTTTGGCCACCCTCCGTGCTGAAGACCATAGTGAGTCCAAACAGCACGGTTAATTGAAATCTACAGATAATCACAGAAATTCCTTTTAGCCAACGATGTCAACTTTGTCCCGCTGGTGGAAGAAAATAAAAAGGCTGAAATTAGAAAATCTAAGTTTTTTCTCATAAAGGTGAACCCCAAACCTGTCCAATAATACTCTACTACATAAAGTCTGTTAGTAAAGAAGCGATGCAAAAAATCAGTACCTAAGAGACTCTCAGGACATGAAAATTATTTTGTAGATTCTCCAATGGGCTTTGCAAGCCAACAGATCCAAATCACAACTGTGGTCAAGGCATGCTGCAGAGTCTCAATGCTAGGTGAAGAAGGCATCTTGGGAACCAGTAGACTGCTACTCTTTCAACACTGAAAAGACATCTCTATTCTTTGAAAGTCACTTTCAGCCACCCAGAAAGTTACCTGGAGAAAAGTATGGTGAATGAAACTTCAGAGTTTGAGAAGGAGCAGGTCTTTCTTATGTAAAAATGCCGATGAATAAATGACAATGAGATAGAAAATTGCCATTAAAGCACGGCAGTAATAATTATTGCAGATAAGCTCCACCAAAGCATGACAAGATCAGTGAGTGACAATGTGATAAGAAACAGGACCTTGGCCTGTTGTGACTGGGAGGCTGAGGTGGGAGGCCAGCAGTTCACAAGACCAGACTGGGCAACATAGTGAGTCTCTACAAAAAATTTAAAGATTGGTGAAGGCCAGGTACGGTGGCTCACGCCTGTAATCCCAGCACTTTGGGAGGCCGAGGAGGGTGGATCAGGAGGTCAGGAGATCAATACCATCCTGGCCAACATGTGAAACTCTGTCTCTACTAAAAATACAAAGATTAGCTGGGCGTGGTGGTACGTGCCTGTAATCCCAGCTACTTGGGAGGCTGAAGCAGGAGAACTGCTTGAACCAGGGAGTTGGAGGTTGCTGTGAGCTGAGATCGCACCATTGCACTCCAGCCTGGTGACAGAGCGAGATTCCACCTCAAAAAAAAAAAAAAAAAAAAAAAAAAATTGGTGGGGCACCACCACTACAAGTGGTGCACACTTGTAGTCCTAGCTACTTGGGAAACTCAGATGGGAGGATTGCTCAAACCCAGAAGTTTCAGGCTGTACTCCCACCTGGGCAACAGAGCAAGACTGTCTCAAAAAAGAAAAGAAATATGAAAAAAGAGAAACAAGACATCTGCATACTCTGAGTATCAGCCCCTAAGATATTAGTAACAATGGGAAAAGCAGAAAATTTACTCTGAGAAACCTGGCAGGCACCACAACACCTCAATCAAGTGTTCAAGGCTAAGAGATGATCAGTGATAAGATGCTGACATCACACACAGATGTGATGCACTGAGAGAGACGCAATGTCAATCTTGTAGTAGTCTTCCCCAAAATGTATAAAAATTAGTTTAATGATGAGAAACATTAGAACCAATTTGGAGCATTCTATGCAACAACCTATCCGTACTCTTCAAAAGTATCAAGGGTCATGAAAAACAAGGGAAGATAGACAAATTTTTACAGATTGCAGAAGACTAGATATAGTAAGTAAACACAATGAAGGATGTTGGGACTGAAAAAGGATATTAATGGAAAAACTGGTGAAATTCAAATAGTCTATAGTTAACAGTATTGTGTCATTGTTCATTTCTTGGCTGTGAGAACTGGTTTATAGATTATGTAAAATGCTAACATTAGGAAAAACTGGGTGATATTTCGCAAACTCTTGCTTTTTTTTTTTTTTTTTTTTTTTAAGAGACAGGGTCTCAATCTGTCTCCAAGACTGTTGTGCAATGGCATGATTATAGCTCACTGAAGCCCAGAACTCCTGGCTCATGCGATCCCCCACCTCAGCCTCCCAAGTAGCTGAGACTATAGGCACCTGCCACCACTACTGGCTACCACTACAGGCACCTGCCACCACTACCTTTTTTTTTTTTTTTTTTTTTGGTAGAGATAGTCTCACAGCTTGGTCTCACACTCCTAGCTTTACGTGATTTGTCTTGGTTTCCCAGAGCCCTGGGACTATAGGTATAAGCCACCATGCCTGGCTGCTTTTTCAACCTTTTTGTAAGTCTAAAATTATTTCAAAATAAAAGGCTGAGACAGAGAAAAAAAACAAAACAAAACACAACAAAAAAACAAAAAACAAAATCAGTTCAGTTTCTCCCCAGCCAGTGGGGTCATCCTCACTACAAAGTTGCTGGTTTGGGCTCTAGCTCTGCAGATTTTCCTCACTGGATGAATTTCATAATTTTCACTACCACTGATATTACACAATTGAGATTCTAGCTGAATGGAGAGTGATGGAAGAACATGAATGAAGAAGTCATCCTGACATTGGGGAAAAAGAACTTACTGAAAATTTTTTAAATGTTAAGTATTTTACATTATCTTCACAATCCCTGTACCCTCCCCGCCCCCGCCCCCCGCCGACCCCTTCCGCAGCAAAACTCCCTCAACAATACTTCAGTAATCTGGCTAGAGTCCACAACAAATATTTCTTATTCAGAACTTGGCTTTGAAGAAAATGCAGCCCTAACAAAATTTTAAGTAAGTTACTGAAGGATGCAGAGGCTTCGTTTTACAAGAGTTAGTTCCAGAGGTGATTTTGGGACCAGCATTCTTCCCAGACCCCAACAGCATCTAAAGCTGCCAGGAGGGTCTGGCTTTTGATTCCTCTGTGACTCCTTTCCAGACTAAACCAGTGTCACTTGGTTCCAAGAACTGCAGCTCTTCCCTATTCTTTGACCTGTTGTGCCTAAAATTTAACTTTCCCAAATTGAAGAGGGTTCATCCTCCTTGCCTGGGTCAATCCTTGGGGTGGACAAAAGGCATTAAACAACTATGGAAGCCTACCTACTCTGTCAAGAGAAACAATTATTCCTAGAGAAAATCTCTGCTTAAAGCCGCGATTAAAGTCACTCCCCTCTTCATCCTCCAACAACTTGCTTTGAAAGGGTAACAAGGGAAAGAAGATGAGTGCTTCCACTTAGCTGGTAGGGGTGAATGGTAAGTAGACCTACCTGCACTCTTTCCATCGAGTCACCTACACATAAGAGCAACAATTGTGCTAGCTGTATCCTACAGTTGTAGCCTCTTAGCAGAGCCTTCAAATCCTAGTGTGGGTGTAGGGATGTGTGTGTGTGGCGGGGCGGGGCGGGGGGGATGTTCTCTTGCGCTGGCCACCTAAAAAGCTTACTAAGTTACTACTGACAAAGGATTCTATTCCTTTTCACTCAATATAAGCCTATAAGACATCTCAACACTCGCCATCTTACAAACAAAGACAAGCATCTGGGTGTCTGGGCGTGCCCTGGCCCCACAAAAATCCCTAACCACAACTGTTAACTCTGACAACGGTTTAAGCATAAGTAATAGTATATACCCTCTGAAGGCAGAGGTTTGGTTTTTATTGCTAGGTTTATGCCTGCTAGTTTGTAAGAATGCGCTAAATGCCATCTCCCAATTAAAACCCTTCCATGCCCAGGGGCAAAGGATGCTCTAGATCCTCAATGCTTGAGCCCACTAAATCATCCAGGACCACTTTGCTTGGCTCATCTAGTGATGCAGAGCTGTTACGTGGTTCTGCAAAGGATTCTCAGGGAGATTCCCACCTCACAGTCACTGCTTTGCTTTCAGGTATTTCTGGCAACCCCCAGAGTTCAGTATCTTTCTAGTTTGATTTGTCCCAAAAGGACTGGAGCCTTATTGAACCTATGCATCAATTCTGGTGGAGTGAAGTGTTAAATAAGGCAAAATAAAACAGAAGTAAGTGCGAAGGCAAGAGTTTTTACCAGAATCTGACCCTTTTGTGAGGTAACACACACAACGGAAAGCTCTGATGATATTGCTGAAGCTGGAGTGTTTAATGGCCTCCATTTTCTCAAGAGCATTCTCTCCGTAAACAAAGATGACAACTGTTACAGCCAGAGGAAGTGACAGCTCTGTGGAAGGCTCTATGTTTCCACCATAAACACTTGCTGAGGCTCCACTGATGCCAGGTACCATGGTGATGCTGGCGATCTAAAAGCAAGAGTCAGGCTTAAAAGCTTTGCAAACTCTTTCCCAAAAAAGGTACAGTCTAGACAAAGTTCAAGTTGTAAACTTGTAACTTCAACATAACTGTTACATGCTCCAACAATAGAATGGATTAATTTCCTGGGGACAGAGGAGAGGATATTAAGGGTAAAGAAGGGTTTTAATTAGGAGATGACATCTGGCAAGTCCTCATAAATCCAGCAGCACATAGCTGGCCACATAAATCACAACCTTGTATTCAGGGTCCATACTATTACTCAACAAGGGTAATTCGAGTAATTACCAGAGTTATCATGATCCAACACATAAGTTCATTTGAGGACCCTGACTATGCAAGCATGAATTTTTTTGGCTGCCTCTAGATAGCATGTTTATGAAAAACAGGTTAAGTTACTGGCTCCAAATTACTTTTTAATAAAAAAAGCAAACAACAAAAGCTTAAGTTTTTAAGATTTTTCTTTTTTTTTTAAGTCTGAAAAATAAATCTCCCTGTCAAAAGCATGCAAAAGTAATGATTTATGTGATATAAGCTTGGGTATCTGTGTTGTTATTACATGACATTTCCTAACAGCTTATAATTGCCTTAAAGATTGTTTTGGAAAGGTTATACCTTCTCCCTATTCCCATTCTCTTTAAATAAACCCTTGTGTAATCTCTGGAAATTTTTAGACTACAACTATCGATGGGCCACTCAAAAATGGAGCCATTGTCAAGTCACCCACATGAAATAGTGAAGGTTTACAACCAAAAGAGAATTGCTCTCTTCCACAAAATAGCTGACGGAAATACTGTACTCCAGGGGCCTACATGGAACAAACGTTAGGAAGGTGTCTACCTGCAAACCTATTCTAAGGCTGGACCAAACCAGGGGTACCAGGTCAGTCACACCCAGGAAAGTCTACAGAACACTAAGAACCATTATTTACACCACTTTAGAATTTAACTGTTCCAAACCCTTTGTTTGGCAGATGGGGAAAGGAGAGGTAGAGGGAGATCAAATGAGTCAACATAAGAATCTCGGTTGATTGGCTGGTTTTTCTAATATGGTTCACCACATCATGTTATTCTACTGAAGCTCAGGAGAGGGTACCAGGGGATACCTCAACCCAAAATGACTTCTTCACAGTTTTAAGTCTAGGGCAAAAGGCCCATAATGTAGTCCTCACCACTTTTTCCTAGTAATGGCTAGCATCAGATACAACCTAAATCTGTAGAGCTAGTTCAACATTCGGGTTACCAAACACAGTCATGAAAGAATGTAATTACTATCACAGACATACACTGTCTAGGTTCTAAAGCAATTAAGCTGGTAACAGTACTATTTATAATAAAAAATAGGTTTCACAAACCTGTAACAGAAACCAGGTAAATGTGCCAGAAATTGTACAAACCATGGCAAACCTCGTATCAATTTTTATGTAAACATAGCAAGTAAACAGTTTTGGAAGACAATTCCTATATTCCAATTTAGCATAAGGTAATCAACTGTGTCTTAAAAGAGGAAAAGAAAGGAGCCTAGAGCTTCATTAGGTGTCCCACCTAACCTAAATTTGTTTTTCTAGAAAAAACCATGCACTCAAGAAAGGCAATCAAGATCTACATATTTAATCACACCCACAGAAACTTGTGAACATATCTGTAAAAGGATTATCATTAATCTTTCAAGCTCCTAGAGTAGGAATAAAATACCCAGGCAGTGGCTCAACAAATCTAACTTGTGAGGACGTTAAACATCTCAGGGACAATCTAATAATGTAAACTTTTACAAACTTTCCTTCCTGGTCTCTTTCCTTCAGTCAGTCAATCATTTAAAAAAATAATGAGCTCCTGGAATATGCTGGGGACCCTGTGGGGAATAAGGCACTTGTGATTCCTGCACCCAAGAGTGTAGCTGGGGCTACAGGAACGTTTTAAGATACCTCTTAACTGTTTAACCTCTAGTGTTTTAAGACATAATCCCTGCCCTCCTTGAGTTTACAGTCTTCTTGGGCACACAGAATCTGTGCATAGTAATAGAATTAAATAGAAATAGAGGAACAGAAGATAAAAACAATGTGAGTTTGGGGCGTTGAAAGGAAGAATTTCTTGGAGTCTAAAGAAAAGGATCCAGACACAAGGAGCAGAGGAATGAAGGCTACTTCCAGTGTTGGGGTGCCCCAAACATGGCACTTGACATGCTGAAGCAGCCTCAAGGTCTCTGACCCTCCTTCCTCATCCTTTGTCTCTCGCAAAGCACAGGATAAGGCTGTTCTCTGAAGTTCCCTTATCCACCTAGAAACCAGATCCCCAAAGAGGAACACAATGGCCTGCCATTGCACCCCGCCATCTCCCAGCTCAAGACTGAGGAATGCAACCATACCCAGACAGACTTCTCCACAAGATAACTTCTGCCTCTGGAGCTTGTTCAAATTCTAAAGAGCATCATTTACAAGTAAATTTCTGTCTCAGGGAAATATTCATTTTCCCTGAAAATCATTTACTCCTACACCCCCAATACCTTCTCACCAATTAATAAAGTATTTACGGATCAACCATCTGGCCATTTTCTTGCGTTTTCATATTTTGTATGACTTCCATGCACACCACAATAAATTTGTTAGGTTTTTCTCTTATTAATCTATCTTTTGTTTTAGAAGTGTTGGCATGATCCTTTATGATCATGGGGAAGGAAGGGATCAACCCTACACTGTCAAAGAGAAGAGAACCAGAGTCATCAAGATCAGAATGTAGATGGCACAAGCCAGGGCAAGAGGGTGAAGATTTCACACAGGGTGGGAAGCTGGGCATGAGCTTCTACAACAGGTAACAGTGGGCTACACTCATGCCCACTGCAGGGTCTATGCAAGGAGTATGCAACTGGCAGGTAGGGTGGTGAGATGGATTCTGGTGGAGAGAAAGTGAAAACGGGTGCAAGAAATTCATTTTAGAACATGTTGAAATCCTGGGGTCAGATGTGGGTGAAATAAATGGAAAAGAAAGCATTTAAGTAGAAAAGAATTAGGAAAATTTGGTCATAGATATAGTTTGAATGTTTGTTCCCTCTAAATCTCATGTTGAAACATGATTCCCACTGTTGGAGGTTGGGCCTGGTGGGAGGTGTCTGGGTCTTGGAGTGGATCCCTTATGAATGGCTTGGTGCCCTCCCCACAGTAAAGAGTGAGTTCTCACTCAGTTATCTACTAGGAGATCTGATTGTTTAAAAGAGCCTGGCATCTCTCTTTCTCTTCTTGCCATGACACACCTGCTCCCCCTTCACCTTCCACCATGAGTAAAAGCTTCCTGAGGCCTCCTAGAAGATGATCAGATGCTGGCCGGGCATGGTGGCTCATGCCTGTAATCCCAGCACTTTGGGAAGCTGGGGTGGGGGGATCACCTGAGGTCAGGAGTTCAAGATCAGCCTGGCCAACATGGCAAAACCCCATCTTTACTAAAAATACAAAAATTAGCTGGGTGTGGTGGCGCACACCTGTAATCCTAGCTACTTGGGAGGCTGATGCAGAATTGCTTGAACGCAGAAGTGGGATGGTGCAACTGTACTCTAGTGCAGGTGACAGAATGAGACTCTGTCTCAAAAAAAAAAAAAAAAAAAAAAAAAAGATGATGATCAGATGTTGGAACCATGCTTGAACAGCTTGAAGAACCACAAGCTGAAAAAAAAAGCTAACCCTCTTTTCTTTATAAATTACCCGGTCTTGGGTATTCCTTTATATCAATGCAAAATTGACAACAATAGTCACTGATGACAGATTTCAAGATTTTCAGCTTAGGCTAGTACACGAACTGTAGAGTCCAGAAAGCAGGTTTGTTTTTCAAAGTATGTTTTGTTTTCCACGCCCTGAGTCTGAGATGATGTGAAGCTTCCCCAATGCAAGTGTCTGGTAGAAATGAAAACATATGGCAAAGAAGAAAAAAGCTCAGGGAAAAAGGTGGTCCAGACAGAACCTATCTCTGTGGCTGTGATGGATACAGCCATAAAGGAGATGAGTTCTCTGAGAACTCCCACCCCATTTAGAAAGGAAAAGGGCAGGAACACTGCTCTAGAAATCTGGAAGAGAGTCCAGGTAGACAGGAAAGATTCTCTAAGGCAGTGAAGCCTGAGCTGAGCTCGAAGGGTCTGCTGAAGGAAGAAGAAAGAGATTCCAGGTTGGGACACAGCAGAGACAAACAACAAGACTTCAGTGGATAGGCTGCTCCATCCCTGTTGTCTCGGTATTAGAAAACCGTATTTAACATACTAATGGCAGACATCTGATAATCAGTTCATTACAACTATATGGAACTGCCCCCTAAATTCAATTGTACTTTGCCTTTCACACTCTTATTTTCATAATTAAATAGTTTTACAATAAAAAACAAGGTACATGGAGAAAACCAAGGTTATCAGGTTTCACCAAAACATAGCAGTGGTCAATTCTAGTCCATCTCTGAGATGACCTGGTCTCTGGCATTTGCACGTTAAAATTATTTTTAGGCAATGAATGCCAGTATTAGAGCCACCCACTTTTAAGGTCATAATTGCTGCATATAAAAAGATTCAGAGTTACAGACTGTCCCCAAACAGCAGGAGCCCTCATGGCCTGCCTCTCCTGGATCCAAGAGCCACAGTGTTCTCCTGCTTCTATTTAGAGTATCATGAATGCTAAATAGAAACGTTAAAAATTATTCCACAAAATGAAGCAAAACAGACATCATCCCCCATAGACCCACACTCTGAAGTGGTTCACCACTCTTTTGGCTTGGAAATGCATTCTTAGAAGTAGACTCTTTGTCATCTGAACCCCCAAACATCTTAATTACATATTTGTATAACACCCGGATAAAGGGGGAAAAAACCCAAACCTCAAGTTTTTTTTTAAAGTAATAGCAGCTTTCACTCTAGAAAAAAACATCAGAGCAATTCTATCACATCAGTACTTTGGTTACTTAGCATCAGGTCATCTCAGACGTGTGTAACACGAAAGGCGTGAAGGGGAAAAGGACATCAGAAATGGCTGCAGCAACAAAGAATCTAGCAAAAATAGTTTTCTGTCATTCTACACGCCAGATGTGGTAACAAGCTCTTCCAGCCGGACTTGGTAAAATGCCTTGTTTGAATGAAAGTCTGAATTGGCGGTTATTTTTAAATTAATGAAGTTTTTCTATTTGGAAGGACTTCTAATAACACGGGGTAGTATCCCAAGAAGCCCTCGGGGACTTTTCTTAATGAATTAGAATAATGTGCAATTAGACCAACAGTTGTCACAAAGTGCTTCTGAGGGCTTGAAAGTAGTTGCTCTCAAGTAGTTTAAGTAGCATCATATTCACATAAAGGATTCTAAGGCACTGAACTGAATTGTTCGACTTTACAATGCACTGGGATATACATGAACAAATGCACTCCACAGTGCATATTATGCATTTCCTAGGATTAAAAAACCCAAAAACTCCAAAATGGGTGGGGGGGAACATGCTAAGCAAATATATTAGGATAAATATGTATCAGAAAAATACTCGTTTCAGGATTCCTCTAAATAGTAAGTCCTATTCATGGCTGTGTGTCTTCACAAATCATTAATTTCTTGGCAAAGAAGTTGGGGTGCAGAGACCATATGGCCAGAGCACTGGAATTGAAGATCAGTGGGAATGTGATTAGAGGGGTTTCGTAAAGTCCGTGCTCCTTTGAAAACATGTTGTCTATGCCTTTTCTCTCTCGTTTCCCAAGGCCACTACTCTATCTTCCTCTGTTTGAATCCAAACAGAAGTATAAGAAGTCAGATCCACAAATGACTCATTTTATCTTGCCCTGCGTCTCTGTGTGGCCAATGGCCAACCATCCTATGGACGGACAGTCACAAGGGCCCAACCAAGGTGTCTTACACAAGCAGGCAGAGGGCTTGTAGTGGCTTTTTGTAGGTTTTCAGCTGGAGCTGAACTAACTGCAAACTAAAAGAAAGTTCCCAACAGCAGCCCTTCCTGAAACTGAGGGTCTGATTGTGAAAGTCTAGCCCAAGTATTTAGGGTGCTGGGAAGACATGAGAACTAACTTATGTCCTTTGTTTCCTTCCTAAGCAAACTGGGCAGTCTTGTTCATGCAAAACCACTATGGAACGATCACTGTAACAGGCACACTGGACCAGACGGTGAATGCCCCCAGGGGGTATCTCTCCCTAATGCCTTGCTTCACATCACACCACCTCCCCTCTTCCAAATTTTGGAGGCTTACTACCAATGGGGACTATCTGACTGATTAATCAGCTTTCAGTAGACAGGAGCGGGACAGGTGGGGGAGAAAACATTTCTTTCCAACTCCCATTCTCCACTGCAGAATACCACAATAAGAAATCTTAGGCCGGGCACGGTGGCTCATGCCTGTAATCCCAGCACTTTGGGAGGCCGAGGCAGGTGGATCACGGAGTCAGGAGTTTGAGACCAGCCTGCCAACATGATGAAACCCCATCTCTACTAAAAATACAAAGATTAGCCGGGTGTGGTGGGGTGCGCCTGTAATCCCAGCTACTCAGGAGGCTGAGGCAGGAGAATCCCTTGAACCCGGAAGGCGGAAGTTGCAGTGAGCTGAGATTGTGCCACTGCACTTCTGATTGTTAACTAGCAGTTTAAATGACCACATTTAATCAGCTAAGTGAGAGTTGGTTTAAAAGGCCAATTACAAAAGAAGTGGTAAATGGCCTTTTAAACCAATTCATAGTATCTCTAAATGCCTTGGTTTACCAAGTCTGAGGGTTTCCTAGTACTCTCCTTATAAGCATTAGAATGAAATCGAGTCCTGGCTCTTTTCCCATAACCACTTCCTCTTTGGTTCATTAAAAATGTAAACATTACTTAAATAGAGCAAAGCTCCCTGGACTAAGGGGGTCTTTATGGTATACATTCAAATGGCATGTGAATGAGGTTACAGGGCACAGTGCAGAATCCCTCCATGGATTCTAAGGTGGCTAAAAATGCCCATGTCAGTGGATTTGCCTGTTTTCCAAGTCATTTGCTCTGAAACTCCTAAATACAAATACGAAAACAACAGCATGAGACTGCATTGTCATGTTTATTTGTTATTCATTCTGTTATTTGGGGTTGGGGGGCAGGAGGAGGATTAGACACAATTTTTAGCCAATGAGCCTCTAAACAGAAATACGGTTTATTCTTGGTACTCAAATTCAAATCTTAGTAACATAGCAATTACATTTTAAAATAAACTATCTCCTTGTGCTTGCTTCTAAGGAGAGTGTTTAGTGGGATATGAAAAGAGTCTAATCCTAGGCAGCCGTATGGCCAGACCAATTATAAACCCCGTAGACTTTCACACGTCACAGAGAGCAAACTGCTCCAGGAGCAGCTCTTAATACTTTACTGCCTATTCAGGTGCTCCCGCACTTTTAAGATATACTTGTCAGCAACAAAATACAGCACTTCCTTCTGTCTTTATCATACTGGTTGCCAGACAACTGCACAGAGCTAAAGTGGGTAATGTTACAGTAAACAGCTCCCTAAAACATTTACATATGTCACTGATAAACCATAGAAAATTTAAAAGAGATAC